CCAAAAATAAACCCATACCTTTATAGTCAATTAATACTTGACAGAGTACACAAACACACACAATAAGCTAAAGATAGTTTTCAATAAATGGTGTTAGGAAAATTGAGCAGATATGTGTAGAAAAAAGGAACTAGATCACCTTCTTATACCACACAAAAGAATACATTCAAAATGGAATAAAGACTTAAATGTTAGACCCAAACCCATAAAAATTGTAGAAGAAAACATAGGCAGTAAAATCTTGGACATTGCTTGTAGCAATATTTTATCAGATATACCTCTCCAGGAAAGAGAAATGAAAGAAAAAATAAATGGGTACATCAAACTTAAAAGAGTTTTCACAGCAAAGGAAATCATCAGCAAAATAAAAAGACAACCCACAGATTGGAAAACCTTTTTGCCAATACATCTGATAGCGATTAATATCCAAAATTTATGAAGAACTTACAAAACTCAACACCAAAAGAAACCAAACAACTCAATTTAAAAATGAGCAAAAGACCTGAATAGACACTTCTTGAAAGAGGGCATACAGATAGCCAATAGCCATATGAAAAGGAGTTCAATATCACTAATCATCAGAGAAATGCAAATTAAAACCACAATGAGATATCATCTTGTATCTGTCAGGATGGCTATCATCAGTAAATCAAAAAAGTGCTGGCAAATGTGTAGAGAAAGGAGAATCCTTTTGCACTGTTGATGGGACTGCATATTGGTGCAGCCACTGTGGAAAGCAGTATGGAGATACCTCACAAATTAAAAATGGATTTGTTTTTTAAGTCAGCTATTCTACTTCTGGGAATATATCTGATAGAACCCAATACACTAATTCAAAAGAACCTAAGCACCTCTATGTTCATTGCAGTGTTACTTACAGATGCAAATATGTGGGGGCAGCCCAAGTGTCCATCAGCAGATGAGTGGATTAAACAACTATGCCACATTTACACGATGGAATACTACTCAGCCATAGAAAAAAAGAAAAGTTTACCCTTTTGCTATATCATTTTGCAATGATATAGACAGACCTGGAGAACATTATGCTAAGTGAAGTAAGTGAATCAGAGAAAGACAAATACCATATGATTTTACTCATGTGGCATCTAATGAACAAACTGAACTAACAAGGAAAACAGGGACAGAGTCATAGATGGAGAGCAGGATAACGGTGGGTGAGGGAAGTTAGGGAGCAGAGGGATGGAGCACAAAGGTAAATGAACTCACGGACAACAGTATGGTGAGTGCTGGGGGGAGTGAGTGTGAGTTGGGGACTAAATGGTAATGGAAAAATACAATAAAGATTACTTTAAAAAAAGAAAAAGAACAAAGGTAGAGTCATCACCCTTCTTGATTTCAATCTATATTACAAAAACATAGTAATCAAACAGTATTGTAATGACATAAAAAACAGTAACATGGACCAGAAAAACAGAACAGAGTCCAGAAATAAACCCCTACTTATGGTCACCTGGTCTTTGACAAGGCACTATGAACACAGTGGGAAAAGGACAGTCTCTTCAATAAATAACATTGGGAGAACTGGCTAGGGCCAACTAGTTGCAAAAGAATGAAACCGGATCCCTATATTATACCACACAGAAAATTGAGTTGAAATAGATTAAAGAGTTAAATGTAAGACCTGCAACCATAAAATACACAGAAGGAAACTCGAGGAAAAGGTTCTTGACATTAATCTTACCAATAATTTCTTTTGATAAAATGCCCAAAGCATGGGTAAGGAAACTAAAACATAGGACTAACGAAAATGCTTCAACTCCACAAGTGATGTAATCGATATGTTAGGAATGTAACCTACAATACTTGCCAAGTATGTATCTGATATAAGGTTAATATAAAATATACAAAGAACTTATATAACTCAATAGGAAAAAGTGGGTAATTTAATTTTAAAATAGGCAAAGGACCACAAGTTTTTTCCAAGAAGATATACAAATGACCAGTAGATATGTGAAAAAGTGCTCAACATTGTTAATCATCAGGAAAACGCCAATTAAAACCACAACGGGACATCACTTCATACCTTTTAGAATGGCTTTTCTCAGAATGACAAGAAATTATAAATGATGGTGAGAATGTGGAGAAAAGGGAACCCTTCATACTATACTATCGATGGAAGTAAACTGCATGGCCCTTATGGGAAAAACATATACAGGTTCCTCAACAAATTAAAATACAAAAATTAAAAAGAACATCAAAAGGCCAAAAGAAAAGAAGGAAATACTTTCATTTGCAGCAACACGGGTGAATCTGGAGGGCTTAATGCTAAATGACATAAGCCAGACAGAGAAAGACAAATCCTGTAAGGAATCACTTATGTATGAAATCTAATTTTAACAAGCCAATTGTGTAGAAACAAAAATTAAAATGGTGGTCTCGGGGACTGAAAAGGGGGGAAATGGGGAGATGTAGATCAAAGGGTACAAGCTTTTATTCATAGAATTTTTAAAGTCTTGTAGTGTCAATTATTCATTAAAGTTTTAAGTTAATAAGTAAATTTAAAAATATAGAATTTCCCAAGTTGTTTGGAATATTCATTGAGATCATTGTACTGGGCTGTAGTAGGTGCTCTATAAATATTATCTAGTATTATTAACTGAACTTATTTTGCAGTCAAAGCCACAGCCCTCTGTGTTCCAGATATCCTTTCCTCCCCTCCCACCCCTTGTTTTGCCCCTGGGCATTTATGCCTTCCTCTCCTTATTTTTCTTTGTTCTAAGTTATAGCTTTCTTTGACCCTTTGCTTTTTACATACTATCTATGATACTAAGGATTAATATTGTTTCCACTTATTAAAAAGGGAACTTGAGTCTCAGAGAGGTTAAACATCCTATTCCAAATCACCCAGCTTATGGGTGGCAGAATCAGAATTTGAACCCAGATCTGATCAGGCCATCCATGGTCAGTGCTCTTTTTCATATGTTGTCATTTTTAGTGCCGACCTGAAGAAGTCAGTCCTGTATCATTATGCAGCCATACACACTCGTGCCCAGCTCAGTAGGCTGTGGAAGACTGAATGCAGTCCCTGTTCTGCTTGGCAAGCCATGTGCCCTGGCATAGAGTCATGTGCCAGAAGAAAGAGGGGGGCACTTTTGTAATTGTCACAAAGATACCAAAAAAAAACTACCAGCAGAAGCATATCTCCATGCTGTTACGAGACAAACATGTCCCCTCCAGAACCAACCTGGAATTACATTGACAAGTCAGCATGTTTACCTCTCTGCGAGTGGGTGCTATATGGCTGGTCAGTCTGCATTATTATCCTCCCTTTCAGGTTAGGGTAAGGGAGCAATTATTTATCCTTGGGTAAGTGGATGTTAGCTTTGCTGAGTCACTCATGCATGGTTACAGAGGTGGAGTCGAGTCAGAGGCAATCATGCTATTTCACCCCGTATTTAGGAAAGTCAACAGTTAGAAAAAAGAACAAGGGCTTCTTATGGTATATAACCTCTTCCTTCACATCATATTTTCATGGTCAATTAGTCTCTGAACTGGCTGTCTTCTTTCATATGAATTCTCTGCCAAGTGTGGATGATGAAGATATTGGTAAATGAAAAATAAAAATGTTGACTAAGTAAAATCAAATCCTGCCTTTTACTTTAATTACTTATTTATGTGGTGATCTATTTAGGTTATCGCACTTGAGAACATAGAACTCAACATCCTTTTAAAAGATAAGTACTATTAAATGATCATGAAGGTAGTTACATAGGAAGAGTTACAATTTGTTAAGTGGATTAAATAAATGATCTGACTTATTGTCCAAGGGTCCCAGTGACTGTGACAATGTGAATAAGAGGCCAGAATAAGTCAGATAATGCCTGCAGTGGTTTGAACTAGTTTAACATATTGTAGCCTCTTCCTGTTCCCTTCCTTCCTTCCTCTGGCCCCTCCCTCTCTCTGGCATGAAGGATTATATTAAGTCATGGCATATCATATACTTCATTAATATCCGATGGAATATAAAATATTTTATTAAATATTACCTTGGATTGTAAAGGTAACCATTTTTCAAACTTGGAATTTAATGAGTTATAACAGTAGGAATTTACTACATCTAATTTACCAAAGATAATATGTTATTGCAGTGCATTAGTGCAATAAAAATAAGTGCTAGTTTTTTTTGTTCTTAGTTGTGATTGCCAATTAAAGAAGAATTCCAGGAGAGGGAAATGATAGTCTTATAGTGTAAATGGGTGTTTCCAAAAGTTTTAAGAATCAAAAAAATATCTTTTCACCTTTATGTCTAGTTTATTATCCTAAGATTATAAAACTATTTATTGTGCAACTAAGGCAAGATTGGATTTATATGCACAGGGATTAGATATTAATTTATGTTTTAACTTCAAGGATTCTCAAAGTTCAAAAGATACATTCAAGTTACTTGTAATATTACTAGAAATTCCACAAGTAGAGATGGATTTATTGGAGGTAAGCTTTTGCCTCTAGTAAGACTGTATTAAAAGATTCCAGAAGGAATGACTTATCAAGTCTGTATTAGTCACTAACTATAATAATAATACTGTTTTTGTAATGTTCACTAGGTCTAAAAAATGCACTAGGTGTCTTTTAAACATGACTTATTATGTTCACAACAGTTCTACTTAGTGCATATTGACTTTTCCATTTTAAATTTGAGAAAATTCAGGATACTAGAAATTAAATACTTGTCTAAGGTATAAGAGAAAAAGTCCAAAATCGAACCAAGGTATCCCTGGTTCCAAAGCTTTAACTATGTTCTACGAGGACTAGTTTCTTAGGGAGCATTATGAAAATACTCCAAGGAGAGGATCTCGGGAAATGAGGTGAGCTGAGGGAACTGCGAAGACAAAATTTAACATAGCAACTCTTGCTTTCACTGAGTTCTAAGTACTAAGCAGATGTCATCTTCTGCCCAGTCCTTGTCTGAATTACTACTCATTTTCCACTGTTGACATGCACCCCATGAAATCTGATAGTGTCTTAAATTGAATTTGCAGGTACTATTTGGTGACAAGATGTTCTCCCCTCATACATTTTTTGAACAATTCATTGCCACCAAGGTGTGTAACCGGAAGCTATTTCATCGTATTTGCAGCAACTTCCTATTTTCTTTTTCTGGATTTGATCCCAAAAACTTAAACATGGTACGTGTAAGTAGTTGGATCTGGGAAAGCAATTGTTTTGTTGCACAGTGGTTAGGAGATGTTATTCTAAATTGCACAGAAACCATATCCAAGGTCTGCTTTTTGTCTCCTGAAATGTTATAGGATATTCACGGTTTCCATCCAAAGCTGAGAGTCCACCTATTTTAGTATGACAACCTGAGAGAGTTTTTTGCTAAAAATTCTTACTAACTCTTGCTATTGGCCAAGGTTCCACATTGGAAAGTTCCTCACTTTGATTACAGCTATCATTTTGAAACTTATCTTGCTGTGCATGAGCCCTGTCTTAGACCTAGTGAAGCAGAATTTCAGAAAGTGAGCTCAGGTGTCTCTATTTTTAAAATCAGTTTTCTACTTTCATGTACAAATAGCCATTTTGTGAGCCACTTTAATCCAAAGAGATAAAGGGATGGCTCTTCAATGATAGCTATACATTCATTGTTCAAGGGATATGGAGAGGAATAAATGTTGGCTGTTTGTCAAGCCATTGCCAACTTAACTGAGATCCTTTCCTTTTTTAGTTACCTCTAGCTAACCCAAACAATGGGAAGAGGAAAGAGAGGCAGTTACTGTTCACTGCCCAGCTAGAGAGGAGATATGCATGAAACCAGAGACAAAGCTGAAGGTGATTTCCACTCGTGTCTCAGATTCTGCACAGAGATTTGTATCCCCCTGGAGGTGGAAAGCACTGATTAATATTTTCCTTGCATTCAAGCAAGGTTTAAAATGTTGTCTTTGCAAAGCATGCCTTAGCCACTGCTTTTCACATTCCTCTCTCACTTTCTGAATTGATTAGGGAGACTGTGCTTGCCTATCATTTAGATGGAAGCATTTCATGTAGGCAAAGCTGAGTAAAAAAACCTTTAGGCAAACTCAATAGAGATCATTTCAAACTCAGCCTCTCAACATAGTTTAAGAGTTTGCTAAAGTAATCCCTCACAAAATGCTACGCTTGAACATAAATTGGCATCTCTCGCTGTACATTTATGCAGTAAAATTGCCTTTTTTTCCTCACTGTTGGGGCCTGGACTATGGAATGTGACAATGCCTGTATGAATGTTTAGCAGAGTATAACCAGGGGTATGTAAGTAGAATGTTTGTAGAACTTTGAAAAAATACACATGTCCAGAACTCAGCCCTGGAGATTTTAATATTGAATCTCAGGTTTGGGTAGTTTAATTGTATTTTCTGAAGCTCCAAGATGTTTCTGTTGTTTGCTATGGTGGACAAATCACTCATTTTGTATACTAAAAAACCAGAATGCAATTGAAAATATGAAAAACTCAAGGATTATTTAAAAAACCCAGAATGAATTTAAATGTTAATGGAGATTAAAATATTGGATAGCTTGTGTTCTACAAACTGTCAAAGAACCCTATAGGATATTTACCACATTTTAAAAATCAGAACAAATGGGAACATTCAGATCTGTTCTCAACACCTTACAATGAATAACTTTCTTAGAATGTCCTTTGGGACATAATGCAGGATGAAGAAGAAAACCAGTGGGGCGTTTATCCCATGACTTTCTGTCCTCTGGGACCTGTCCAAGATGCAACTAGAAAGAAAAGGTATATTATTTTCTACCTCCGATCCATGGGATACCCTCTGTGGGCTTTATGAACACACTGCTCGGGACAGAAGAATGGAGCTAAGGGAAGGAAAACTTAAAGATGGGCTTCTTTGGTTAATATGTCTTCAGAGAGTATGCTATATGTTTATTGCTAAAAGAAAAACTTTAAAAAATATTCAAATTTACTTGTGATGTGATTATATGATTAGCCTCAACATGAAACATGATCTCTTTACTGTGCAGAGTCGCTTGGATGTTTATTTGGCACAGAGTCCAGCAGGGACATCTGTTCAGAATATGCTACACTGGTCCCAGGTACGTGATTCCTGTTTCTGATGTGGTACACACATATCTATGCGAGATCCCCAAGCAGCACCCCCAGACAGCTCACTGCAGGGCTTTGCAGGCACCTGTCACTGATATTTCTAGAATCAGCATCAACCCATGCTGATTTCCTTTACTCCCTTCTCATCTGCGTGTCCTTGGTGTCTGGAGTCTGGGCCTGGTTGCCGGGTATTCTAACTGACTTCTGATCCTTAAATTACTCCAAACTGCTTTTTCTAGGGAAAGCTTATATATCCTCTTCTGGGACACCACCAGCTCTAACAGAACTTTATGCACCATGATATAGGCTATTCCAGAAAGATCTCACCCTTCATTTGGCCTATGGGCCATTTCAGAGTATGGAGTTTTACTCAGAGCAAATTAAATATTAGGAAGGGATTAATATAGATTAATGTTGTCTCTTTTTACCCTCAGTTTAAGTTTTTTCTTTGTGTTACTACGTTACTTAATAGTTGACAAGCTTCAAGGTAAGTCAAGTTCAATTAGTGTAGTTCCCCGAGCCAAGTATATAAGAAAGTTTGTGTGTGGAATAGGGGGTGGGGAGGGAGTTCCTCCCCAAATTTTAATGTATCTGAGATCTCTAGGAATTTGCATTTTAAACTACACCCTGACACATTTGTTTCTTACTTTAAAGTTTAAAATCATGGCCACAGTTAGCCTAAAACACTAGTTGAGGATTTCTGAAATAAGCCTTCAAGTTTGTATCAGAAAAAAGATGTTCAAGGCATAGCACCACCCAGTGAGGAGACAGACTCACTGATGGGCTGATGGGCATGGCCTTCCAGGCAGTGCAACTTTAATTTCATATTTACTGAGCACTTACTATGCATTCTTTTACCATTTCTATACATGACTTCATCCATTATCATTTAATTCATTCTCATGACAATCTGGCAATAAAGACATTAATATCCCTGTTCTACAAATGCCACAGCCCATCCCTTACACATCTCACAGCTGACTCCTCTTCCAGAGCATTCTTCTGTGACAGAAGGACCTCTTCAAGACAGAAATAAAGGTGGAGGTACAAAATATTAGGTCATACCTTATATAGACAGCTAAGGGAAGAATGAGGAAGATGGTAGTATATTAGTAAAAAAATTGTTGAGCATTTCTAGGTGTTAAATGTTTTTATTGCTCTATTTACTCTTCACAACCTATGAGAAGAATGCTATTGCCAATCTTATTTCGCAGGTGAGAAAACAGGTTTCAAGAAGACGAATGTCTTGTCCTGGACCACAGATTCAATATTTCTTTAAGCCTAGATTCAAACCAGGCCTGTCTGATGCAAGAATCCATGTTTTTAACTAGTATACTCTATCGCTTCCCATTGTTAAAATCTTGCAAAATTCCAATAACAGAAGGCTGTTGCCTCTGTCCGTATAAATCTGATGGGATCATTTAAAACTAAAAGTCAAGTTAAAATCAATGAGTGTGAAAAAAATACCTGAGATTCAAGTTAAGAAAAAACCTCTAGAGTAGTCTGGGAATAGTTCAATGAAGAGCTTGAGGTAAAGGTAAAGGTTATCTGCCTCTTTGAATAGACATGGGTGGCAAATAACAGAAAAAGGAACCTCTAGGTGTATGAATGTTTCTTTTCTAATATCTGAAGTCTAAAATTAAAATGTGAAAAAGGGCACATGTGGTGTCTTGGACATGCAGCCTGTGGCCACCCTACTGATAACATGGCAGGGCCTTGGCCCTGCACACAGGAGACAGACCCGGCAATCCACACCTCCCCCCAGAAGCACCTGGGTGTTCTGGGAATGAACGTCCCTTTCAATAGTAACAAAACTGTTTAAGAACAGGGAGCGTCATCAGAATATCCTAGGCCGCCTCAAAAGAATAATAAGGTTTAAAGTCACTTAATAATAATGGCAGATATTTTTTAATGTAAGAGATGTATGGGTGGCCCTAGCTGGCGTGGCTCAGTGGACTGAGCACTGGACTGTGAACCACAGTGTCTCTGGTCCAGTTCCCAGGCAGGACACATGCCTGGGTTGTGGGCCAAGTCCCCAGTAGGGGGTGCAAGAGAGGCACCTACACATGGATGTTTCCCTCTCTCTTTCCCTTCCCCCTCTCTAAAAATAAATAAATAAATAAAAATCTTTAAAAAAAAGAAATGTATAGGTGGTGCCTTTTAAATATGTGTAGATACAGATATATAGATGTAGATATAGATACGTAAATTCCTTAAGCCAAGATATTTAAGAATCATTCGACTCAGCTTCTTTTAAAACTTTTCTGTGTACAACATTGTAACATTTTAAAGGCATTTCTGTTTGAGGATCTTCATTGGAAAATTAGAAGGGGGGACAAAAGCTTAACAATATTTCAGAAATTAGTATCGATTTTTATTATTTGGCTTATTAATCTTTATTGAAATTTAAAAAGTAGGATATAGTGTCAACCTTCTCTGTACATTTCTTGCTTACTGTCTTTAAATGTATGGTTTTTTTATATCATTTTAATGTGTTCATTCTTTTACTATAGGCTGTTAATTCTGGTCTGTTCCAAGCATTTGATTGGGGAAACCCTTATCAGAACATGCAGCACTTCCACCAGGTACAGTAATAACAGTCATCAGTGGCGGACTGTGAACGAGCTAATACATGCAGGGTGGGCAAAAGGAGGCTTACACTTGTGAGTATGCAAAACACAGTATTTATTCTTGTGTTAGTGTTTATTGATTATTATATTGTTTTTCATATGAAAAATTGTAAACCTACTTTTGCACCACCCTATATGGCATCTGCTCATTAAACACTTACTAGTCTCATTCAAACTATGCCAGCTATTTTATATAGATCATTTATTACTTATTGGTTTTTTACCCTGTGCCATATCGTTACTTTTGATCTTCACTGTGACCTTGCAAGGCTCAGAGAGGTTAGATAAATTGTCAAAATTATTTAGCTAGTAAAGAATCGAAATAGAACTTAGGAGTTTCTGGATCTAAAGTCTATTCTTCTTCTACTCACTGTTTTTTTAAAGTAGAAACTCTCAACATTTAAGATCAAATATTAAAGGGAGAAGTAAAGATACATAATTTTTGTTTCTAGAGCATATGCTCTCATTCTATATTCATCTATCATAGAATGAGCTAACGCTGTCTTATTAGTTCTTTGGAGAGTTGTTTACTACTGTACAGAACCATTAAGGATACACCAGGCAGGAATGTCACCTTTAGGAAGAATTGGTGCTATTTCCCAGAGAATGCTACATCAAGATATTTCTTGATGTTATCTAGGAAAAGTTTTGGAGCAAAAGTTCTATATTAAGGGAAATATGTGGGTTTTTTTAAATAAATAAGGGAATTTAGTAGAGATTTTGACTTTTTTCTGATAGACTGAGCTAACATTAAACAAGTAGTCATCAAAGATACATGGGTTTTACAAATCAGGAATGTGGAAGTTTGGAAATTTTTTGAAAAGCAAATTTTCAGCACGACTATAATAACTACAATAGTAAAAATGAATAACTTCAACTGGTGTGAAAAATCTGATTTCTCTCCTAAACTACTATAATTACATATGTGTGTGGGTGTGTGTGCCCAAACACACAAACACACTATGTCTATACACACTGTTTACTAATAATTAGCCAATTTCTTGCTTTGGCAAAAGTATACAAGTGCTTTAGGAAAAACTTTTAGGTGGTGGCCTTGCTCTGTAAGACTCAGATGCCTGTGTGGATGAGGTTAAGTGACTCACAGGTGTTAGCTTTATCATTATGTTTTCAGATTCCATTTTTTTAAATGATGATTCAGGTTGAGCTATGAATATTTTGCTTGGTACTTTGGGGGTAAAATAAATCCTAAATAAACTGAGGGTCAACTATATGCACGTTTAAAAAGCAATAAACCTAGTCACAACTATAAGTAGTAACACTATACATTAGACAAGTGTAATTACCAATGTTATCACCAATCTTTTATTACAAAGAAGGTAAAAATTCTTGGCCAAAACCACTGTATCACTTAAATCCTAATCTGAATATTCATTTTTCTTTGTCATCTTTCTAGGCTCTCCATTCATCCTTAGCAGGGTATTTATTAAGTCATTGCAGTAAAGATATTCTGATTTCAGGGGCTTCTCAGACCCCCTTTGTGTCCTGAAGCTTGCTGATATTTGTTGCTGTCTCTGCTGTGTTGCATTGTCATGCATTCTTTATCTCTATCTTTGCATTTAAATAGTTATTCTTTGTGTTATTTCTGACAGAGTCAGAAAAAGTGCATCTCCTCTCTCAGCAGTTGCATCTCTCATACAACCACTGTGGTCAGGAGAATAAAGAGCTAACTGGCCAGACCTGGTCACCCTGGACCACTCTGGAACTGGAGGAGCGGAATTTGTTGAATCAGCACAGGAAAGGTGTTACCAGAGCCCAGGGATCAGGGAAAACTTGCCAGGAGATGAGCGCCCCAGGCACAATTGCTCTGTAACAGGCTGGCTTTTTAACATCATATTCCCAATGTCTGTTTTTATGTATTGGTCCCAATGCTCCCTGAAGAGTCTGCTCAAATGTCAATAATACCCCTGAGCCCAGGTTTCTGCACATGTGGAGGGGCATTTATATTTATCCTATACAATATTTTGTTTGAAAGGGCACACTCCCAGTCCAAGTGCTACTAGAAAGATAATGCCCATAAAAATAAGAGCCCCTTTTCTCTAGGACCCTTTCCTATTTTCAGAAAAGTGAAAATCAGAAATATAATGATTGTTTTTTTAAATTCATAATTCATGTTATTGCCCTGAAGGGTTTTATGCAAATTTAATATTTTAATGTCTGCATATCATTGTGTATCCTAATTGCACATTTTTAACATTTAAAGAATATGCTTAAAAACTGATAATGTTAGTTCTATAATGTGGGTTTTCGTGAAAGCTCTTTTTTTCTTTCTCTCTGTCTCTTTAATTGTGTTTAGCTTACACCTCCCTTATACAACGTTTCTGAGATGGACGTTCCAACAGCAGTGTGGAGTGGTGGACAGGACCGCGTGGCTAATTCCAAAGACACTGAAAATTTACTTCCTAAAATCACCAGACTCATTTATTACAAATTTATTCCTCACTACAATCATGTGGATTTTTACCTTGGACAGGATGCGCCCCAGGAAATTTACCAAGACCTGATCAGAATGATGGAGGAATGTTTCTGAAGTTAAGTACACTTACCTTTTTATAAGCAAGCAAGTTTCCATGGTAACAATATGGCATACAGACCCGAAGGTGACCCCTCCAATGACTTGCCTCCTCACGTGGATGCATTTGTGTAGTTCGCACTCTATGAGTAAGGGAGGGACCTGACACTTGCTTCTAGAATTGGCGAAGGTGATGGGCTGTCACACCCTTGGTTAGATTATGTTCCTGGCAAAGGTGCTGGGCTGTCGCTCCCTGGTTACTTTGTATTGTATAAGAAACCATGTTAGCAGACTGGAACAGGAGATTCTCCTTGCTGGCTTGATGAAGTAAGCAGCTATGTTGAGAAAACCCTCATAGAAAGGAACCATGTGTGGCTTCTAGGATCTGCTGGTGGCCTCCAGCCGACAAACTGCAGAGTCAGGACTCTGTCATACAGCTATAAGGAAATGTATTCTGCCTAAAACTTGAATGAGCTGGGAAGCGTATTCTTTCCCAGGAAAGCCTTCAGCTGAGAACGCAGCCCCACCAACACTTGGACTGCAGCCTGCTGAGACCTGGAGCAAAGGACCCAGCTATGCCATGCCCTGAACACTGACCCACAGAAACAGTGAGATAATAAATATATGTGATTCTAAACTACTAAGTCTGTGGTAATTTGTTATGAGCAATAGTAAACCACTACTGATACTACTACTAATAAGTTATTATTGTTGTTATTATTATTTTTATCTCTTCGGTTAGAAGCTTAAGAGACCCTGCCCTTATTTCCTTTTGTTGTATTTCCTTTGGCCTGCAGAACGTCCTTGAACATTGCTTGTTTTGTAGAGCAGCTAGTGACTGATTCTCTCAGGGTGTGTCTGGAAAAAAGATCTTTATTTTGACTTCATTTCTTCAGTTTTTATTGTGATTAGGACATTTAACAGGAGATCTACCTTCTTAATGTATTTTTAAGTGTGTATACAGTATTGTTAAGTGTAGATACTATGTTGTACAGAAGATCTCTAGAACTTTTTCTTCCTGCATGACTGAAACTTCTGTACCTGTTGAACAACTATTCCCCTTTTTCTCTGCCCCTGGCCCCAGGAAGCCACCATTCTACTCTTTGCATCTATGAGTTTGACTATTTTATATACTTTATATACATGAATCATTCAGCATTTGTCCTTTGTAACTGGATTATTTCACTGAGTACCCATATTTTGCCATGTATAAGGTACACCATTTTTGCCCAAAGTTTTGGGGGGAAAACGAGGATGCCCACTATACATTGGTAGTACTAAAACATGGTTGCACATCATACACAGCAACATACAGTACAGTGTCCTTTAGGTTCATCTGTATTATTGCCTATGATAGGGTGTCTTTTTAAAAGCTGAATAGCATTCTAATGTATGTATTGGAATACATACATTGTGGAATACATAAAAAAATGTATTCCACGTTTCTCTAACCCATTTGTTCATCAATGAACATTTAGGTTGCTCCCAGACCTTGGCTATTGTGAGTAATGTTGGAATGAACCAGGAGCACATATCTTTTCAAGGTCTTGACTTCAATTCTTTTGGATACACAGAAATCAGATCGATGAATCACAAGGTGATTTTATTTTTAAGTTTTTGAGAAACTTCCATACTGTTTTCTCCAGCAATGGCACCATTTTGTGTCCCCATCAACAGTGCATAAAATTTCAAATTTTTCTACATCCTCAACAATACTTGTCTTTTTTTTTGACAATAGCCATCCAAATAGATGTGAAGTCACATCTTACTGTGATTTTGATTTGCAGTTCCCTGATGATTAGTGGTGATGGAAAAAAGCTAATGCCCGTGAGACTTCTGCTCCAGGAGGGAGGGAGAAGAGGGGAATGTGTACATCCTTAGAAAAAGTTTGAGCAGCTTCCAGAATTTCTAGCTGTGCTGACTGGTGAATTCTTATTTTGCCTTATTTTCTGAAAAATATTTTTTCTTACAATTGACCTGCTTTTAGATTGACCTGCTTCATATTTTGTTGTTACTCCTTCAGTGCTTTAAAAAATGTTGTTCATTGACTTTTGGAATATGTAGTTTTTGAGAAGTATGGAATACCACATCTCTGTTTCTTTGTAGTTCATGTACCTTTTTCCTTTGTTTTTAAATATTCTCTTTGTCAATAATTTTTTAGCTATTTGATTTGGGTGAAACTTGTGTTTTTGTGTGTATTGTACTTGGAACTTTACAGGCCTCTTGCATGTATGCATATATAGTTTTTATCCAATTTGGAAACCTTGTGTCCATGGTTTCCTCAAGTATCTTTCGTGCTTTACTTTCCCTGGGTCTCTAATCACAAATATGTCAGGGCACTTGCAGTGGACTCACAAGTCGCTGCAGCTGTGTTTTCCCCGAGTAATTTTCTCTGGGTGCTTTAGCTGACATGCTTTCTCGTCTTATGGCTTCACATCCTGTAGTCATTTCTTTTGCACTATCTAATCTGCTGTAACTATACTTGGTGCATTTTTTTAATTTTGGGTACTGTATTGTTTATCTCTAGATATTTCATTTAGGTCTTTTGTGTATCTACTGTATCTTTCTTCCTTACTTTTATGTTTGTCTTTAAATCCTTTAATGTCACAAACATTTTAATGCCTGTTTTAACATACTTTCTGCTTATTTAATTATCTCTCTCACTTGTGAGCTTGTTCTATGTATTGACTTTCTTCTGCTTAAGGGCTATATTTTCCTGCTTCCATTCCACATTCAGAAATTTTTATTGGATGCCAGACTGGACCCAAATGCAGATCCAGCTTTCTGCCTCTACAAAAGCCAATGCTTGAGAGGCAAGTGCTGATGTAAAGAAAAGTGGTTTATTTTCAGATGCTGGCCTTCTGGAAAATAGGGGACTCATGTCTCAAAGCCCATCTCCACTTCTGTCAGTGGAGAGTGGGATCTTTTTAACAAAGAGATGAAGGGAAGGTGTTGAAAACTCCACATGCAGACCAGCACAGTCCATTCCAATGAGGCAAGTGATGGTCTGGTGTGCATCATCCTGGTTTAGTCATTCTGGATTCACATCATCCTGACTTTACATCATCCTGGCTCCACAGTCAAAGGAGAGTAAATCTCCCAGAGCTGGGATGCCTGAAGGTTGGAGTCTGTCTTTTGAAGTTAGTTCCTAGGATTCTTATATAAACATGCTTTTTAGCTACAAGCTATGTATTAGTCTGAGTCAGCAGTTACAGAAATAATGTCAGAGAATGTTAAAGTGGGTTATAATTTTCCACCATTACGATTTTCCACTGTTACAAGACTTTGAATTTTGCATTGTTGAATGTTGAATTTTATTTTATCCCTTTAAATAGAGTTGGAAATTTTTTGGCAGTCAGTTAATTTACTTGCACCTAACTTTGATTGTTTTGAAACTTTTCCATCTCCCAAGGGCAGGTCTAGAGCATTCTCCCCTTTGAGGAAATTTAGCCCTAACACTGAGACATGTCCTTTCCAAGGTCTCCATTGAATTCCCGTGTGTTCACAGAGGTATCTTCTTGCTGGTTGGTGAGGACTCAATTCAATCCCTATGTATACTCTAGAAATTGTCTTACTTACAGTTCCTTTGCAATTATTTTCCTCTGAAAGTTTTACTTTGTCCACTCTTGTGGAATTTTACCCTTTGCATTAGCATATTATTATTTAGCCAAAGGCTCCGGGAGATGTATCTTCATATTTCAGGATATTTTTCTCGAGACTGCTCATTTTTCTGCTACTCAGACCCATATATTGTATTGTCCTCGTTCTCCCTGATTTCTAGGCTTTGTCACCTTCAGTAAACTAGGCCACTGAGCTCTCTGTGGGTTCCCTTACCTTTGCTGCAATGTGGAAATTGCTGATAGGCAAAAAGCTAAGGGCTTCAGAGGGCTCACCTTACTGTTTTCATCCTCTTAGTTATCATCACAGTGCTGCCTGCTCACCAATGTCTGAAAAATGTTGTTTATTATGTTGGTTCCAATTTTCTAATTTTGAGGGTAGGACGGTAATTCTAAAACTTGTTATTCTCTCATGACTAGAAGTGAAAATCAAGATCTTTTTAAAAATTATATCATTTTACACTGGCTGGTGTAGCTCAGTGGACTGAGTGCAGGCCTGTGAACCAAAGGATCGACGTTCGTTCCCAGTCAGGGCACATGCCTGGGTTGCAGGCCAGTTCCCAGCAGGAGACCCACGAGAGGCAACCATACATTGATATTTCTCTCCTCTTCTTCCCTTCCCCTCTAAAGATAAATAAATAAAATCTTTAAAAACAATTATATCATTCTGCTAATGTGTAGGTGGTAGAACTTTTTTGTCCACAAAAAAGTTTCCCTTAAACTGAATGGAATTATAATTGTCACAACATGGCATTTCTTAATCAAGTTGGATTTTCTTGTTTTAATTCCTATACATTGAAAATATTTTCTTAGTTTATAATTTCTTTTTAGGAGGAATCTCAAAGTACACCATCACCACATTCATCAATTATATCAATGTAATAATTTTAGTTTGATTTTGTACTATGTGTCCAATATTCTGAACACTGGCAGCTTCTAGAAGGGAGAAAACTTTCATATAGAACCATTATTGTTCAGTCTAACCGTAAGCCTATGTTGTGCAGGAAGTGGGAGGTCTCCTAGTGGTGGATAGTCTTTGTAGTCCCTGCCAAAGGATTTTCTGAGCATCTCCTTAAAGTTACAAGTTATTAATTTAAATATTTCAACCTGCATTTCTTATATGTTAAAGGCTAAAGGTATGGGATGAAAGAAGAAAAAGTGGTTCTCGCCCTTATGATTTATGTATTGAATTTAAAATGTAATAGGAAATTTCATCACAATAAGGACAGTAATTAAAATAATGAATATTATTTAGCACTTACTGTGCACTTATTAACTTAATTAACTTTTAATAAATATATGGTCTAAGTCATTCATCCTTGTCTATATCTTTGTTATAAAGGTACTATGCTTAGCTAGAGGAGGTCCAGCATAAATAATGCTCCTTTATTTTATAACAAAATCTTTTATTACAAAATCATAAGCATGTAATCCTGTAACATAACAATATCACACTCAAGCACACCTTAGGACATTTTAGGTGAAATGTTCAAGTTGTTGTCCATCTCATGCGAGACATTGCTACCAACCACACTCGAGCCAGCCTTACCGCCGCCAAACCCTGTATTTGCTAGAGGGCTACTGAGACTCAGAAAATGTGAATACTAGCTCAGGTCAAATATTTAAAAATTAGAAGCAAATCTGAGTTTTGATCCCAGAGTTTTTTGAATCCAAATCTTAGGCTTTAAATCTTTCTTGTTTCATCTCTCAATATGGAGTCTTGGTTAGAGTAGTCCAGTCAGGAAAGTGTCTCCTTGTTAGAGGATTCTTGGGGCTCTGTACAATAGGCAAGATCAGAATTTAACACATACTTAAAGTTAACAGAGAAACTAAAGCAAAATCTATGTTGCTTGAGCTACAGAGAGGACTGACTAATCCAGCAGCAAGAGCTGGGCAATGCCAGGACAAAACAGGAGTGTGAGTAAGTATGTGAAGCAGGCTACCCAAGTTCTGAGTCAAAAT